GCCATTGCCAGGGCATAGTGTCAAGCATTGCCCCATGATCTTCCCGTCGGTGGGAAAGACTAATTCAAGTGAGACTTTCTAAGAACAATAAGAAAGAAGCGAGAGTGAAACTAATGTAAGCTATCATAGAAATTGTTCTGGGATTATCATCACGTAATTTAAGTATGGTGGCATTTCAACTAATCTTGATTTGCCACAAAGAAAATAGAAATGATTTTGAAGTCGTTTTTTGTTTTCTTAGAAGCGTAATGTTGAAACGATGTTGCTAGGGTTCTTTATTTGTCTAAAAAAGTCTCATCATGCGGTCCTCCTCATACCGTGTGTGTCGGCAACTCTTTTCCCCCCTACAAGTCAAGTCAATGGTACAAGTTTCAAGTCGTCTAACGTGTGAGTCGCTGCTTGCATCACGTGATACATCGCGTCTGAGAATGTCCATAAAATTGGATTCCTCTCACTCTAGACGGAATTACGAGACGTCTTCGGACATCTTATCTTCTCTCGGTCCTTAAGAATACTTATTTTTGTTGAAACCAGAATATACTGCTAAGTAAAATGATTATAAATGTAGTTCCTTACTTACCCTTCGTCGCTTAACTTTTACGGAAAAAATCGCTTTTATCAAGCAGGTCACATAAAGAAAAAGTCGGAGAAGAGTTTTCATATGAATGGAATAGTTATTTTTATTTGGGAAAATTCTAAAAAAAAATCTTATTTTTTTAAAAATTTCAAGCTACCATTCTTTTCTTAAAAAATTATCGTTATATATATATATATATATATATATTAAAATAATGATATTGCTCTTGTTGACCATCACCTCCGCTCAACATCGTCGCATGTCGACCTTGCCTACTCTTCCCTCTTCCTCTATTATCATTGGTACTTTTGCCATCCTTGCCCTCACCAATGTGATAACAAGTGAAGGAGCATCCTACACATCCTTGTCATCATCGTCCTTGCCTCACCAAGGTGATAGTGGATGAAGCTCTGATCCTCACATATAAGCCCTTCCACTAAGGTGATGACAAAGGTGGCTAGGGGTGAAAGCAATGACAAACCTTAGGCCCTCTCTTTTCTTGCTCATGGTCTCTTCGCCAACAACTAAGATGATCGATCATGGTCGCTATCGATGGTGGTACAAGAGATAGTCAGAAGTAGAGGTGATGGCCAATGTGATGGAGAAAAAGATAAAATCATTATTTTTTTTTAAAAGCACAATGTAAGAATTTTTTTAAATTAGATTTTTCAAGAATTTATCTTTTAAATTTTTTTCGTAAAATCAAAAAATATTTCTAAATCAAATAATTACAATGGTTGCCTCTCAAAGCATATCAACAAATGAAAAAAAGTATAAACTAATTCGAAAGGACAAAGATAACTTGTAATTAAGATATTCCGAGAAATCCATAAGAATGGGACAGTTAGTCTATAAGAAAACGTGTAGAGTCCGTTTGTGATCTATCTTGTTGTTAACTTAATATATCAAGAACCATGGACTTAGAAAGTAAATTATTATGAGACGAATTGGCAAGTCAATGAAAATGATGCGAGCAAGAAAGCCATCTACAACGAGAAGTCCACAATAAACTTCACAAGAAGCAATGATGCGAGTGCGAGTATGGTCATCAATAACGTTCTATATAGAGTAAGGGTTCTCTGTCATGGATTGGACCGTAGAGTGAAATGAGCAACCGAAATGACCTCATGGCATCATCTAATACAAAAAGATGTAAATCCAAACACGACGGATCTGAGTTATAACATAAACCAATCGTATTCAAACGATTTCAGAAACATTACCATAAAACATGGACCTACGACGGTCATAAAACAAGAGAAGAATGAGTTGTATACACGTGATTTCATCATATTAAAGGGTAGTTCTCTGAACATTACAACACAAGTAGAGTACAGACACATACCTACTAATTCTACATGCCATTCCCACCAACTCGATCATATATGTGATAGTGCCATAAGATGGAAACTGTCTTAGGAACATGTTTGTAACATAACATTACCCATATAACCATTACATACGATCCTCAAGTAGAAGGAAGCTTATTCAGTAGCATTCAAGCAGTCAATAAAGATGTGGACATCTAATACAAACTCACCGTGGGCAATGATGCGACCACATAAATTCTTTCTCTAAGGTATAATTCCTGGATGTATCTTGATTTGCTCGGTCGACGACTTCAGAGAAGGCATAAGGTGAGTCTCTTGGCGGATGTTCGGTTTCTTCATCACCTTTGATCAAACAATATCCTATTTTTTTCAGTCTGATTCTTCTCAAGTTCTGCAATTTATACTCCACCTCTTTCATCGTAGGTCGTTTAGCCCCTTTCAATCTTAAACACATTTCTACCAATCCAATCATGTCGATGAGCTCTTCTTCGGTTGCTTCTTTCATAACAAGATCATCTATAAGATCAAAGTGATGATTTTCTCTCACCGTTTGAAGAAAATGCATAGATAGATTTAGTCTGTCCTCACATTCAGTGGAGAAGATTGGCTTTTTACCTGTTAAAAGTTCTAGAAGAATGACTCCAAAGCTATAAACATCACTCTTCTCGGTCAACTGACTGGTATGATAGTACTCCGGGTCAAGGTATCCAAAGGTGCCTTGTACACCAGTGACTAAATGAGTTTGGTCGAGTGGAATAAGTCTTGAAGATCCAAAATCTGATATTTTTGCAGTTAAATGATCATCTAAGAGAACATTTGATGATTTAATATCTCTATGAAATATCGAAATTGAAGCAGCCGAATGTAAATAAGCGAGCGCTCCGGCAGCCTCAATAGCAATCCTCAGGCGATCATCCCATGATAATATAGAGTTACTGTCTGGAATATGGAGATGATCTAAAAGAGTCCCATTCGGGATAAACTCATAGATCAATAAGGGAACTTCAGTTTCCAAGCAACACCCGAAAAGCTTCACAATATTCCTGTGATTAATCTGAGAAAGAACTGCAACCTCATTGATGAACTGGTCTATCTCACTCTGTTTCACATATTTAGATTTTTTGACTGCGACTACACGTTGATCTGACAAAATTCCTTTGTAAACCGTTCCATGTCCGCCACGACCAAGTATTCGAGTCTCATCAAAATTATTAGTTGCCTTCTCCATCTCTTCCAGAGAAAATATTTTTGTTCTCTCACTAATATCTTCACTAGATGAGATTAACTGTTGTAGTAGTAAACCATGGTTTTGATGGAAGTATTTTTCTCTAATTTTCTTTTGTTTCTTTTTTTTCCATTTCCTTCTCAGAATGAGGAGACTCGAACATAAGAGTAATAGGCCTATGCCGTTGCTTACACCAATGATGACACCTGCACATTATCAATCATAAATTTTGCTCCTTAAAAACATTCCTTTAATTTTATTTTCTACGATATATGTTGATAAAGGATTGTCAATGACCTCAATGCCTTCCTTTTGATTTCCATTATTCGATTATGCAGTTTTATGTATCTACTCTGTAAATTAATGCACCTTTAAAAATGAATTAGTCATAAGGACTTACCTAACAGAAGAGTATGCGTTTTGTTAGGAATGCAGGGTGCAAGTTTAGGATCACCATATGTGCCCGCTGCACAAGTGCAAGTATATCCGCCATCCGTATTAGTACAAATCCCATAGCAAAGATATTTCTCGGGAGAGTTGCACTCATTGATGTCTAGACAAGTCATTAGAGACAAAAGGAATTATAATTTGCTCATCAAATTGCAATAAACAAATTGATAGTAAAGAACGACAACAAACAAGTATTTGATTTGATTCTGTGTTCAGTAGCTAACCCCATATCTGTTCCTATTGACTATAAGTATCTGTTTGTTCTTATTGACTAATTTTATGATACACTAACTCTGTCTAGCTGTTCTAGATTGTATGCCACATGTGCAATTTATGACGTAAGCAGACAGTTTCCAGATACTTTGAATGCAAGGCTTTGGTCCTGTATTAATTACCTTAAACCGCGCAGTAGGACGCAAGACTCATTCATTCATTCAAATGCTCGGGTTGTATGGATAAGTAAATGATAACTGCATGACTAATATTAATCATCTGAGTACCTTTGCATCCATTACGAACGTAAGGATTTCCTTGGTAACCTTCTGAGCATTTACAACGGTATCCCTGCAACCCGGCATCGTCGTTAGTGATTGTTGTGTTCAGACATGAGCTATGTTGGTCGACGCATGCGAAGGTGGTCGTGTTCTTCTTAGCATCCTCGCAAAGCTGCAACTCGATCACCCAACTAACGATGGTCTGCTGTTTAAGAACGACGAAAGTTCCAGTTCTATTTCCCATGTAGATGGAACCGTACTTTTCCTCGATTTCCAATTGGCCTTCCTCCAGCGATATATTAGTCACTGTGAAATAGTCTTCTAAATGGAGAGTAGGAGGATTGGATGTGGTATTGCATGTCAGAGCAAATGAGTCGTCCCTGTAGCAGCCCTTCTCCAGCCCAAATGGGAAGAAGACGTCAATACTCCCGCATTTAGTAAGACAGCCGTTTGCAGCAACAGCAGGTGTAAAAGATTTATCTGTTGATATGATCAAAAATGTCAGAAGCAGAATTCGGCATCAGATTAATGTGCTTTTTTTCCAGCGTCAAAATATACATCAATTATATTTGAGACTTATAAATATATTAGGTCATTGCCTAAAGAATTTATGGTTACCTAATTAAAATGTTTATCAATTATATTTGGCCAAAGCCAATCACTAATCTTCCATCACAAATACAAACGGAATGCGAAACTACAGGAAACCATATCTAATACTTGTACCGTCTAATTAATGACAAACATATAAAAGAGTATGCCTCATGATTTGAATTCAATCTTTATGGATCCAATTGGTGATTTTCTATAAATAATAACAGTATTACGCTAGTTGGATTCTTGCACAATTAGGCATCTTTTTTATTTTATTGCTTGAGTTTCTAGAAATCTTCAGGAACATATCATAATAGAGAAGCATGATTCTACATCACTTTGATCCAGTTAATTATATATATTTGGAACTCATTTAAAGAGAGTTAGAGGAGGAAAATTACCTTGACAGCCACCAGGTACATAGGGATTGCCATGATAACTCGCGGAACAACGACACAAATATCCAATGCTATTACTCGAGGGGAACGTATCATAAACAGCATCATAGCAAAGACTATTTTGACTGAGGCAAGCGTATGAATTTGTATTGTTGGCCTCTTCACATGAAAGATGATCATTCATGTACCATGTCAGGGTGGCCTCCACATTCGTTCTACTTCCGTTTAATACTCCTTCGAGATCATAATCATCATAACCATTCCAATTGAATATGATGATCTTGATGCTGGAGGTATTCACTAAGTGTAACTCGGTTTGATTGAGTCTAGTTAGCTGAATCTCCAAGGCAGTTGTATTCTCAAAAGTTAGATCCAATCTGCAATATCCACTGTTAACGTCGGACCACTCTGAATATTGACTCCGATCACTGGCAGCACAGAGACTAAAACAAGTGCTAATGGTTTTATTGATGGTAAGATCCACTAGACTGCCCATAGCGCTACAACCCACAACAAAAAATTGGTTAGACGTCAATTCTTCATAAGAATCACGTGTCATCTGTTCCTCCAAGTACAAAGAGTAAGGCCAATTCTCTAGATCAATCAATGTGGCGCGTTTAAACTCATCGTCGACACCCATGACGATAGTTGGTGGCTTGATGTATACCAACCCCTGGTTCACATCAATTCTGGTTACCTCGATGGTGCCATCACCCAGGAAAAGCCTGGGAGCGCTGGTGGAATGGTTTCTGCAGGTAAGATTAAAGCCTGTCCGGAAACAGCCATCGCCGATGCCGAAAGGATACTCGAAGCTGATATTCCCACAACTTTTTGGGCAGAAAAGAGGGAGGGGAAAAGTTGTGTTTGTTGATCTACTTTCTGTTCTTATTGAACCCATTGATGTGGATGCCAGAAGAAAGAGTAAAATCTTGACCAACCCCATCCCTCCTCCTCTTCCCTCTCCTAATCCGACCATTTTCCTCTTCCACCTGTCACATACCGAGTTGCATTAGTTGGCAATGCAGACACAAGTAAAACGTTATTGTAAACGGTTAGAAAACAAATACTGATGACCTTTAAGTCCATCCGGTCAAAGTTAACATATATTAGGTCAGATACTAATTCAATATAAAAATTTTAAAATATTAAATTATGAGCCAAACTTAATTATAGGTAACTTGATGTTTTCAATCATTCACGATATGAGACTATCAATCCATCTTTTCATCTCACATATATAAATATTTTCAACATAAACTTATGCAACTTTTTTTTCTAACGGAGTTGATGGATAAATTAGATTATGTCAGAATGTGAGCATTTTCATGGCATACGATTAGAGATGAGCAAACAACAGAGAAAAAACATTCATATAGTTTAAGTCGAATTATTCGGATCTTTGTATCATTCTTCGTATAAATAGAAATAGCAAGACGCTTACACTGGTGTTATCGAGGGAAGGAGCTCCTGAGGCTTGAGCAGCATAGAGATAAGAAGAAGACAGTCAGTGATGCCTCCTCCTAGAGGGACGAACTTGCCTAATTATAGAGAGAAATAGGTTGAGCGGAAAACTGGAGCTATACAACTCAACAGTCAATCACGTTGACGAAGACTCAAGACTTTTAGTGTGGAGTGGTAATTTATTCTTTGAACTCCTCATAGTTGATCCATCGGGCACGCTTGATGATGATGCTAACCCTTTGACAAACTTTTAACTCGGATTGTCGTATACTGCATGCAACCATCATTTTAATGCGTCAATCGCTTTGACATAATTAGTTTCATGAGAATCTGCATCACAACTAAGATCAAGGATCACAATTTGGCTCTGCTGTGCAAATAATACTTCATTAGCTAATGCGCTATCTGTCAGAAAACGAGATCAGGAAGAGCAACAGATCAGTTGGTTGACAAGACTTGGAAAATTTAGCGTTTTGAACTCTTGAGAGCTGTTCCATCGGGCATTAAAAAAGATGCTACGTAATTTTCACAGTCCTGAAGAAATAATTATTGCACTGGATCATTATTGAGATATAGATTATTTATTGAAATAATTATTCTTCCCAACCAGTAATCGAATTTCTGATTTAGCTCGGCCGTGCAAATGGTTTATACTTTGAGAGTTACTTTAGGTGAGACAAAGGTATCATACAACCGGTTCACACTTACGGTAGTAAAATGTATATGTGACTCGAAAAAAGGATTGTCATGGTAGATTTTGATTTCAAACTTTTATTTTTATTTTTTCCAACAAAAGGGAAGAGAATTATGTTGCAGTCAACGAAATACACCCGACATTGTTCGTTGTCAGAGCAAACCAAAACTTGTCTTTAGGGATGGAAAAAGTTAGTATACTCCTCCTTCTAGAGTATACTAACTTTGATCATGAAGATTAAAGGATTATCTTCTTGTTTTGATGAATGTAAATTTTTTTTTCATGAATTTAGGGATAAAACTAGTGTTACTAATTGGACGACGACTTGGAAGATGAACGGATAGAAAGTTGGAAGAAAGACGGGTCGGCAGTGAACGAATGTCTTCCTTCTTGTGTGACACAAGAAGGAAGACTAATCATATTCATTTTCTAGATAACATTTATTGTCAAACTTCAATTAATTTCCAAGGCAAAAATATTCATTACCAGTTGAATTGTTGAAGACGAATTCACAAGATGGTAAACCTAATAATAAGCAGAAAAAAAAGATAATTGATCGAATATATGCGATAGTAAAAATCTAAATTTTTTGTTCGATACCTCAAGTCTTATTATAAGTCATGCAACTTCAGGTTCATTTATAGATAAATACCAAGTAATAATCCTCTTTGAATTTATCTCCGAGGAAAATAGGGTGAGATCTTATCCTCTTAATCAATAAAAAATCATGATTAAACTTTTTATCAAAGTTTAAGTTATCAAATTAGATGGAACGCGAAGTCTTGAACAATCGAATCACTGGCAATCTACTGATCTTCATCTTCCACAAACCATAATTGCATAGTTTTATAAACCTTCGTTTTGTTGAAAATATAATAGTGAATTGATGTTTATTTCCTTCGAAAAGTCTAATCACGTGGCCATCCTTGAGTATACTTTACTTATTTGATTTTCTTTTTTCCACAAGAGTCTACGGTATAAATTTCTAAGTCATCTAACGTGATACATCATCATCATCATCATCATCATGTCTAATCCATCAATTCGCTCATCCTATCTCGATCGTTCTGTGAAAACGAATTAGTTAGTCTATACGAAAGCGAGTATAGTTCATCAATTTTCTCCTATTGTGATTGATACATCATTGATCATGGATTTTTTTTTTTCTGAAAGAAAAAAATAATTACTAAATAAAACGAGAGAGGTAATAAGCAAGCAGAGATCATGACCACTTCCCTCTTCAAAAATTGTAACAAAAAAAAAATTTCTAGCATGATTTGCTATTACTCAGTTTCCAACGATATATACGTGAGATCATAAAAGAGTTGAAGAGTCCAACAATAATAGAATCAGTTTCATTAGTAACTCAAGGAGGATGGGTTTTGCCACAGACAGAGAGGTTGGAATCAGTTTCATGTAGTAAAGATTTGGAGAGGTCATCGCGAATAACCTGCAGTTTTCAAAAGGAGAATTCCCGGGTGCTTCCAGGACTGGGTTGAAAGAGATC